TCTGCATTTGGGGGGAGGGGCACGCTTGGTTTCAGGCTCTGCTATCACCACCTTGCAATTTTTAATATATTAAAAAATATATATTTTATTGATTTTTTACAGAGAGGAAGGGAGAGGGATAGATAGTTAGAAACATCGATCAACTGCCTCTTGCACATCCCCTGCTGGGGATGTGCCTGCAACCAAGGTATATACCCTTGACTGGAATCAAACCCGGGACTCTTGAGTCTGCAGGCCGACACTCTATCCACCGAGCCAAACCGGTTTCGGCCCACCTTGCAATTTTTAATATATTTTTTAAAAATGTATTTTATTGATTTTTTACAGAGAGGAAGGGAGAAGGATAGAGAGTTAGAAACATTGATGAGAGAGAAACATCGACCAGCTACCCCCTGCACATCCCCTGCTGGGGATGTGCCTGCAACCAAAGTACATGCCCTTGACCAGAATCTAACCGAGGGCCCCTCAGTCCGCAGGCTGACGCTCTATCCACTGAGCCAAACCAGTCAGGCCAATTTCTAATATTTTTGAACATCTGCATTGTCCTTGTGCACTGGGCCCCACAAATTCTGGAGCCAGTCCTCTCCACTTCTCCCAGTTCTTGAGATCAAGTGGGTAATCCCTACCTTTCTCTGCTCATCTCTTTCTAACACCTATCATTTGTATAGCTCCCATTTACCGTGAGCTTGCACCCCTTATCAAACTGTCACCACAGCCCTGTGAGGGGGTTACATCATCCACTCATGGCGGCGGAGGAGGTCTTTGTGAGGACTTGTCCCATGACCTCAGGCCCTGCGCTCCCCTTGAGGAACAGAAACGCTTGCCTCCTGCCACATGCATAACCCAGTCCTAGTGAAGTGCAGGAAATTTGCAGGTCCGAAGCTGGTTCTCCACTTTGCTCTTAAAAGCCAACCAAACCCTCCGAGGGAGCTTAATAAATACTGGCTAATGAACCTGCAGCTGCTGGGCCTGGCTAATTAAGTCTAAATAAGTCACAGACTTTAAATTATGCAACAAGGCTTGGTCAAAACAGCTTAAAAATGCGGGAGCCCCGGCTTTTCTGCTGTGCCCTGTGGAAAAACCCCATCTTTTAATCATGCTTAACCTTCCTGAAGGAACAGTGGCAGCCTGTAAATAATGAATGAACGTCTACTAGCAAGATTTTCCCAAAGCCGCGCGCATCAGAGGTGGATCAAAAAAGGGACAGAGACAGAGACAGGCCTGGGGATTCCTGAAGTTTCTGTGAGTCCTGGAGTGCCGGGGAAAAAATCATTTGGTTCCTTAGAAGCCCAGGGCAAGGGCTTAGAAAGCACACAGAGGGAGGCCATAAGCATGGACACTCCGGGCTGCGCTCAGTGCTGATGGAGTACTTCCAGGAGCTATGGGCTCAGTTATCCTCTCTCTTTTCTCCTGCTCATCTGCACCTTTCCTCCCCCAGACCCTCGAGGCTAAGAGCAATGTCTTCACAACAAGGCACAGGTAGAACTGAGTCTCACCACCCAGAGCAGAGAGCTTCTGAGCCTTTCTGAGATGCCCCAGGCCGTGTGGATGCAGCTGGTCCCCGGATGGCATGTTGAGTAGCAAGGATTTAGGTTCTGTAATGTGGCTGCCCAGTACAACCAGTTGGGCACTTTTAAGGCTACCATCCCCCCCTCCCCTCTCTGGACACCATCACAAATCATTTAAATTCAACCATAGGCTTTGGTTCCTTTTATTTATTTATTTATTTATTAAATACATTTTATTGATTTTTTACAGAGAGGAAAAGAGAGGAATAGAGAGTTAGAAACATTGATGAGAGACATCGATCAGCTGCCTCTTGCACACCCCCTACTGGGGATGTGCCTGCAAGGCTTTGGTTCTTCTTAAATTTTTAAAAACCGGAGTTTGAGCCCAGCTGGTGTGGCACAGTGGTTGAGCGTTGACCTATGAACCAGGAAGTCACTGGTTCGATTCCCGGTCGGGGCACATGCCTGGGTTGCAGGCTCAATCCCAAGTGTGGGGCATGCAGGAGGCAGCAAATCAATGGTTCCATCTCGTCATTGATGTTTCTATCTCTTTCTCCCTCTCCCTTACTCTCAGAAATCAGTAAAAAACAAAACAAAACCAAAAACATATATATTTAAAAAACAAACAAACAAAAAAAAACTGAGTCTAGATAATTTATAGGTCACCAAAATAGAAAGCTTAACCAACTTGCTTCAGCCAGTCATCCCCTAAAGCGGGATTAGGAACATACATGGCAGGAAGTGGCCTTTGGAACCAGCCTGCTCCCCCTTCCCGCTTGTGACCTGCAGTCTCTGAGACTGGTCTTGCCCTTGAGCCCGGTTGCCACCAGTGTGATTCCATTTGGGGAGCATGGAAGATGGTTCCATCTTCCTCTCCCTAAGCCTGCCTGAAACTTGGCTATGAGTTCATGATCGTTTGGACGAAAGCTGAGTGTCATGTGCGGCTCTGTTACACCCTCAGCCTTGAGGAGCTCAGGAGGGTGTGAGTGGGCTGACAGGTGAGATGTCTGTCCAGCTGTAGGGGCACTGGCCTTTGTCCTGTGGGATCTGGGACTCAGGAGGAGGAGGGAATCTAGAAACAAACGTGCTTCCTCTTGCGTGTTTGCTGAAAGTACCCAGCACAGAGGTGCATCCTTCTAAGTCCCCAGGCCAGGCTGCTGTCCTGGCTGTGTAAGGTCATGGGGCCTCAGGCAGAGGTCAGGAAGATGAGGGCAAAGCTCTTCCAGTCATGTATCCAGGGAACACCATGACCTTCCTGCTGTGGTATGAGAATGAGGTCTTCAGGCAGAAGCGGGCCAGGCTCAGATTGGCTGCAGCTGTACTCCACCCAATTGTCTCAGCCCCACCATGACTCTGGCTCAGCGCTGGGGAATGGAGTGGGAGCTGGGCCTAAAGAAGGCTGTGTACGTAGACACAGTCACTTATTCAATATCCACTCCTCCCTCTTCCCATATGGTCAGAACCCTAATCTCGTTCAATTCTGCAATAGTGTCCATGCAAAACAAAACAACAAAACAAAATAAAACAAAAACAAAACTTGCCATCGCTGATGCCCTGCAGCCAGGAGCAGCCACATGACCATCTTCTTCAAGAAGGCTGTGAAAAGGACCATCGTGAAAACCCTACCGTTGAGCATTTAATGAGAAGTGACAGCTTTATCACTCCCACGTGACCTCTCCCACGGAGCTACACATGGGGGTGAATGCATGGAGTTGAGTGGAAGATGGGAAGTCACCGTAGACTTGGATGGCAGGATAATGTGTAGTGACATTGAATTCTGAGGAGGTTGTCTTCTTTTCACGTGCTTTCACTGAGTATCACTCGGAGCTTGAGACAGAAACTTACTCTTTTGTCCTTTTAAGGCAGAGCTCTATGCCTGGGAAGGGAAGAGGTTTCTAAAGACTTGATGGATTGTACAGCTGTCCAGCCGCATTCAGTTTGCTGCATTTATCCCCTAAAGATTCCTATTCCTTGGCCAGCCGGTCATCCATCGTTCCTGGTTCCTGGGTGGGGCTGCTGGGGTCAGTGCAGCTGACAGTGAGCCGGGGTTGGGAGGTGGGATGCGGGGGGAGGAGGTTTGAGAAGGGGTGGGGGCTGGCAACGTGGAGTTGAAGTTCTTCATCTGGTTACGTATGCACTCTGCAGCTTCATTTGGTGCTTCCCGCGAGCCCTCTAGTGTTCAAAGTCTGGTGTGTGCAGTTCTATTGTGGATAGCTGTTTATCTGCTATGGTGTGGTGTGGTGTGGTGTGGTGTGGTGTGGTGTGTGTGTGTGTGTGTGTGTTGAGGGTTGGGCTGTGTGGCCTGCTTTTTTGTTCCTCCTCCCATTTTTCCGCTGGAGCTGCATTGCTGAGTTGCTCTGGGCCCAATCAGGCGTTCAATTCCTCCTTCCCTAGGAGGATGCCGCCCAGGTGTTGCTCCCTTGCCTCCCCCAGGCAGGCACTGCTCAGGGACAGGGACACCCTTTGCCCATCAGATTCGGAGAGGCCTGTCCTGAGCTCCCGGAGCTTCAGCATCTCTCTCTGTGGCCTGAGGGCAGGCCTGCGTGACCGACTGTGCAGCCCCATTCAGCCCAGCGATACATGGACCCTGCCCGGTGGCCTCGTGATGCTCCGCTGACACGTTTGCAGAGCTGAAGAGAGCTCAGGGAGCCTTGGGTCTTGTATTAGTTTCTTGCATTAGTGTTGCTGCTATAACACGTAACTATAAACTTAGAGGCTATAAACTATAGTTCTGGAGGCCAGGACTGCATTCTTTGTGAAGGTTTGGGAGAAAGCCCATCTTCTTGCCCTTCCTAGCATCCAGAGGCTGCCTGTAGTCCTTGGCTTGTGTACCCACGTCACTCCAACTTCTGCTTCCAAAGTCACATCTCCTCTCCGGTCCCCACCTTCCTGTCCCCCTCCTATAAGCACCTTTGTGATTACACTGGGCTCACTTGGATAACTGGAGATGGCCTCCCCATGTCAATGTCTTTCATTTAGTCACACCTCTAAGTCTCCTTGGCCACATAAGGTGACATATTCCTAGGTTCTTGGGACTGAGACATGGACATCTTTGGAGGGCCTACCGCCACCAAGACCACCACAGCTCCCCACACCTCAGATCTATGAAAGTGAGGAGATGTGATGGGTCCAAAGCCAGCCTGTTCGTGGCGTGACTTCTGTGATTCTGGAAAGGCTTTCCAAACCCCTCTTCCTACAGATGCGCCCCTAACCTGCTAACGTGTGAACTTTCCCCCTGAGCAGATTGAGCATCACTATCCTTCGTGAGAACTTGGGCTGAGGGCAAGGCCTGGACATGTCACTCACACTCAGGTGTGAAAGGCTGACAGCCAGGGGTGATTTCTAACAGCGAGCTCTGATTGCCAGGAGGCAGCATGTTGGGGCAGGAGGTGCTGGGGAAGGAGGGAGGAGGCAGGGTGGCTCGGGCTGACGCGGACCATGTCCCGTTCACACGAGCGTGGAGGCTCTCAGTGATGGAGAGAACAAAGGCACTTAGAAGTATGACCACAACGTTTTAATCAAACAGAGCAGGATGGCCGCGATGCAGAACAGGTAGTGCTTGGAGAAGAGGAAGAAGATCATCTCCTTGGTGACGTAGATGATGTGGATGAAGATGAAGCAGTACAGGAACATGGCAAACTGGTTCTGGGGGTGCAGGAGGTCCTGGAAGCTTCCTGAGAACTGTGGGGGGGGGAGGGGAGGAAGAAGAGAGTGGAGCTGGCAAAACGGGGGCCTGGGGGCCTGCCAGGCAGAGCTGGGCTGCCATCCTGCTCTCGCACCTTCCCGAATGGGACCTCCAGCAGGTTGTTGTGGTCACCGGAGGGAAGTAATAGTGCCCACCTCATGGGGTTACCAGGAGTCAGAGGCAAGGAATAAATTCCTAGCAAGGCCACTGGCACAGAGAGGGCATTGGTGGGCCTTCGCTTCCCGAGGCTGCTCTCATCCCTCCGGACTCAGGCCTTCCCTCTCTGTCTCATGCTGCCTCTGGGTCACACAGGTAGGCAGTCTCCTGGGCCTCTAAGTCACACAGGTAGGCCCTAGATCTGGAGGCCGGGCCCCAGTGTGTCCTCTGACAGTTTTCCTGGGACACTAAACCATTTGTTTTCTGAGCAGTAGCACAATGCTCGGTGTCCCCTGGGCACAAATGACTGTTTCTGACTCTCTGGGTCCTGGCTCATGGCCCATAGGGCCAGCATGTGGTCCTTCAGCCCAGGCTTTGGTCTTCCTGTGGACAGGTGGTGAGAAATGGGGGGTGGGGACTTACTTCCCTCAACCCTGAGAATCTCAGGCCCGAGGAAAGCTCCTGAAGTTGTCTGGCTGACCCTGCCTGTGTGTTGTTCTTTTCTGGAATCTATATACTTGAGGTTGACAGAGCCCACTGTAACTGTAGAAAGCACCAACATATAAGGAAGGTGATATTTTGATCTGCAGTTAAGATACCACCCATGCTTTATTCTTTAAAATGTCTTTTAAAACCATGCCGCGTTTTTTGTAAGCAGGCAGAGGGCAGGGACTGCGGTTCCCTAAACTCGGGAGAACCACACCCACAGAGGTAGTTTGCAAGGCAATGGAATGTATCCCATTCACCCAGAACAGAGAGAGCGGGGAGGAAGTTGAAATATCAAGTCAGCTTTCCACCTTTCCATAAAATGCTTCTGTAAACTATTGCTAGAGACTGGGATTTGACACAGCGTTGCTGAAATCACTACATAAACTGTGAGGGCAACGAAAGCAAACGGAGGGGGAAGAAAATGACTCCGTGATGCCTACTCTAGAATGAGTGGCAAGAGTGCTGGAGCCCAGAGGAGGGAGCCTGTGATTTAGCAGGATGGGAGGGCTGGCAGGTCTAATGCTCCCCTGCAGACTATAACTCTGGATCCACGGGCTTACCCTCTGCCACCTTTTGTGGTCTGCATGCGTTTTCAGTCTGAAAGGCTGCTGGGTGAGATGTATGATTTTGATAACAAAGCATGCATTTGTGAAACCTTTTAGACTTTTAAAACACTTTCAATGGTTTATCTTTTGAGTAGAGGTCAGGAAGCAGATTAGGACTCCGCACCAAAGGTTTCAATCTCATCTGGCAAGGAGAAAGATTTTCAAAGGGAAAAGCGAAAATAAAGATGGCTGGGAGGAGACATTGAACAAAGGCATAGTTCCATATATACCTGCTTTCAATAGTTTTGGGCTCCAACTTATAACAAATTTTATCCCAGGATACTGAGAATATAACAGGTTTAAAATGGGAATTGTTTGTGAGATGTCAAAAACATCAGGAAATGTGCCAGAATCTTAGAAATAGGCAACTATTTTCCAGATTAAAAAAAAAAGGGGGGGGGGGATGCATTCTGGAAATCTCCATTCAATTAGCTTGACCTGGCTCAGCCAAACGCATTCAGTGTATGATGAAGGAGGTATTTTGTGAGCAAGAAAAAAAAAAAATTATAATTGCTAAGAAGTCAGCAGGTATTCTTTGAAAACAAATCATGCAAAACCAACTCCATTTTCTTAAAAACTACATATTGGGGAAATGCTACAGGTAGTGTAATATCATAATTCCGGGAAACCATCTGACAAGTGTGTCTCAAGGCAGTGTTTTGGACAATGCAGAGAAATGTGAGCTGGATGAAATGTAACACATGGGTGGTGATTAATGGAACATGCAGGGAGATGTTTTGATGGTGTTTTCTTTAGATCATACCCTCCTACCAGTTATAGCAATGACTTGAATAAAGGCAAAAGGCAAGTTTCTCAGAACTGAGGATGACTCAGAGCTGGGAAGCATAGCTCATACATTATATTCCAATAAAGCTGAAAAACTGATGAATGTTGCATTTGGGTCAGGAAGTGAGTTGCATGAGTGCATAAAAATGGTAATAGCTAACCTTTATTGAGTGCTTACCTAATGCGCTAGGCTCATGGCAACGCACCTTCCATGCATTCTCTCATTTAATCCTCACAATGAGCCTATGAGGTAGGTCCTGCCTTATGGATGTGCAAACCCAGGCTCCAAGACAATGAGCTACTTGCCCAATGTCACGCAGTTTATATGCGATGGAGCCAGGAATTACACTGTCTGATCTTAGAGGCCAGAAGAGACTTCTTTAAACAATAACATCTTTCATTACTTAGTGTTAATTCTGGCCCAGTCACTGTGCTAAACACTTCACATCCCATTTAATCACAAGTAGTTGCTCTCATCCCCATTTAGTACAGATTAGGGGAGAATGTCCATTTCTTGCCAAAGATGTCTAAGTTTTAGTTGACAACAAGGCAGAGTGATCCAACAGAACGAATGCAGCCCTGATCATGGGGAGGTGGTGATTTTATCAAACTCCATTGGCCAGACTCAGCGGGGGTTCTGGGCCTAGCTTAAGCACTGCGTCTCTTAAAAGAGATGCAGGGCCGAAACCGGTTTGGCTCAGTGGATAGAGCATCAGCCTGCAGACTGAGAGGTCCTAGGTTTGATTCCGGTCAAGGGCATGTACCTTGGTTGCGGGCACACCCTCAGTAGGGGTGTGCAAGAGGCAGTTGATCTATGATTCTCTCTCATTGATTTTTATAACTCTCTATCCCTCTCTCTTCCTTTCTGTAAAAAATCAATAAAATATATTAAAAAAAAAAAAAAAAAAAAAAAAGGAGAAAGATGCAGGGAGAAACAAAGAGTGGTGGAATTCCAGCCCAGGAGGAAATGTTGAAGACTTTTTCCTGAGAAGGAAAACCATCGGCAGGTTCAACTTCCAGGGTCAACTCTCAGTTGAACATGGAAAGTCTGAAGCAGTGAGCTCCCAGCTCTGGACCCAGGGCAGGGTGCAGCTCTGAAGCAGGTAGGGTGGGCTTCAGGGATGGAGGCTCCCTCACCCCTGGAGTCAGCCCCTGGCCGTCTGGCGAGACCTGCAAAGCTCCCTCCACGTTCCTGTTGCTTACCAGGCGGGGCCGTGCCTGCTGCTGCAGCTGCTCCATCACCTCCTCGTGCTGCCGCTGCCGCTCGTTCTCCTGGTGCAGGTACTTGAGCCGAGTGAGCTCAAACTCCATGCGCACCTTCTCCAGCTCCATCTCAGCACTGAGCTCAACCCCTGGGTTCCCCAGGGTCATGGGCTGCTCTGAGAAGAATTCAGGCCCGTCGCCCGCCTGGCCTTTGGTGGTGGAGCCAGTCTTGGAGGACAGCGAGATGGGTGACCCTGAGCAGCCTTTGTCTTCACAAGTTTCCATCTCCTCCAAGTAGTCAGAGGAGGAGTCTGGCTTAGGGCACTCTGCCTCCTGAGGTGGGGAAGGGGGGAAGTAGAGGGATGGTGAGGCGTCAGTAGGGAGCTGCCCCCTTCTCCCACCCCAGGGCACTCCCAGAGCCCCCGGCCACTGTGGACTGCAGGGTTTGGAAGAGAGCTTGCTGGGAGTTGTAAAGATCTAGACTGAGTTCTTAGTAGACATGCACTCACATGGGGTTATCAGGACCTGAGCTAAGAGGAAGAGGGCACGCTGACACAAAGGAATGAAATCCTAGAATTGAAAGGAATGTTGGGGAGCTGAGGCAAAAGGCTCTCTCTCTCTCCCTGGTAATTTTTTAAAAAATATATTTTATTGATTTTTTACTGAGAGGAAGGGAGAGGGAGAGAGAGCTAGAAACATGGACCAGCTGCCTCCTGCACACCCCCCACTGGGGATGTGCCCGCAACCAATGTACATGCCCCTGACCGGAATCAAACCTGGGACCTCTCAGTCTGCAGACCGATGCTCTATCCACTGAGCCAAACCGGTTTCGGCTGGTAATTTCTTAGTTACGTCACTTTGGAGGTAACTTCCCCACCTCCTACTCCACTTATCCTTGAGAAGATCTAGACACCCAGTCCTCTGGGGCTACAGTGGGAGGAAGAAACCCAGGGTCTGTGTTGAGAGGACCTAAATATATGGGGACCAACCAAAGGGCCATGAAGGAGCTAGCTGGACCCCATACACGGAGGGAAGAAAGGGCCCCAAATGGGGAGGTATATGGGAAAGACCTGTCAACTTCAAGTGGCTTCACAGTTTTGTGAAGGGCTCTCTGGCCCCCGGTTATATCTGGATGCCAGTTGTGGGGATGGGATGCCCACCCCCTGCTCTTCTTAGCAGCTCTCTGGAATCTCATAGCACTCAGCTCCTATCACATCTCCCCACAGTCCTGTCCCTCCCTCCGGGGGTCTGGGCAGAGCAGGGAGAGGAGGCACCCTCCTTACCAAAGCAGCCCTGAACTTCCCTTCAAACATGGGGTCATCAGGCACCGCCTTGGGGAAGGTTGGGCAGCTTTCTCCAGCCCCCCGGGCTTCCATCAGCTCCCTGGCGTCCGTTGTCATCCTGAAATCCACAATATTGCCACTTTGGACCAAAGGACATCTTTTTGAGGGGCTCACATTTGGCCTCACCAGATTCTACAGCCTGGCCGCCATCACAATCCCCTGCCCTCATAATAACCCGCATTCTACCAGTTGCTAGGGCCCCTTTGGTAGAGGGTGTCACACCTTCGAGGTGCCATTATTAAGAACTGCAGGGCCGAAACCGGTTTGGCTCAGTGGATAGAGCATCGGTCTGCAGACTGAAAGGTCCCAGGTTTGATTCCGATCAAGGGCATGTACATTGGTTGCAGGCACATCCCCAGCAGGGGGTATGGAAGAGGCAGCTGGTCAATGATTCTCTCTCATCGATGTTTCTAACTATCTATCCTCTCCCTTCCTCTCTATGAAAAATCAATAAAAAAAAAAAATAAAAAAAAAATAAAAGAGCTGCAGGGTGGGCCTTGGCCACTCTTAGGAGCTGCTTTGAAAACTAGTGTTCCACCCCTTGAAATTCAGAATTCCATCATTTGAAATCTTCTCCCATGGGGCCCTCTATGGGGCTCTTTTTTAAATGTAGGCTGTACGTGGCGAGTCACAGTTAGCACCACAAACCCTGTTGTGGGCTGAATTATGCCCCCCCCCCCCCCCCACCTCTCAATTCATATATGGAAGTCTTCACCCCCAGTAGCTGATAATGTGATCTTATTTGGAGTTAGGGTCGTTAGAGATGTGATTAAGTTTAATAAGGTCATAGGGTAGGCTCTAATCCACTATGACTGATGCCCTTATAGGAAGAGGAAACGTGGGCCCAGACATACACAGAAGCAGAGGACATGAAAATAAGGGAGAAGATGCCATCTATAAACCAAGAAGAGGGCCTTTGTGTGAGTCAGGATTTTCCAGAGAAACAACCAGTAGGATGGATAGGTGTGTGTGTGTGTGTGTGTGTGTGTGTGTGTGTGTGTGTTATACATGTGCTTTATTATAAGGAATTGGCTTATGTAATTCTGGAGGCTGAGAAGTGGCATGAGCTGCTATCTGCAAGTGGGAGGTCCAGGAAAGCCAGTCTGAGTGCAAAGGCCTAGTGACTAAGAATGCTGCTGGGATAAGTCCCAGTCCAGGGCCAGGAGCAGACCAATATTCAGCTCAAGCAGTCAGGCAGATAACACCAATATAGCTCTCCCCCGCCCTCACCTTCTTTTTTTCTTTGGAGGCCCTCAAAGAATTAGAGGATGGCCACCTACACTGTGTAGATATGCGGCCCGCTGGCCGTGGTCTCATAAGCCTTGGGTGATATGGCGCTCCTGGCAGCATGGAAAGGGTCCCCCCTTCCTCCATGGAGCCCAGAGGAAGGGATGGGAAGTAAGGCCACATGAGAGAACAGTGGAGTCAGGGCAGGGACTCAGGTGGCTTGGGGCTGTGCTGGGTTCAGCAGCCAGGGCTGGTGCACCTTCATATGCCCTGTCATGGTTATGGCATGGCTGGTTCTGGTGTTGCTGCTGCAGCGTATCCTCTCACCTCTCACTGTCACCCTTCCTGAAATTTTCCTACCTCCTAGTCTCAGGGTGCCTGGGACCTCTGCCTCCTCCTGATTTCAGCATATTTGTAACTTCAGCTTTTCACAGTGCCTCGTGGCCACTCTCTGTGTTGTTTGTCCTAACTCTCTGGTTCCTGGTGGACTTTTCCAAGGGCAAGAACGATGTAGTTGGTCTCTATTTGGGCAAAGTATTTCCTTCTGGCCACTGGGCAGTTGAATGGGCAAGTGCCTAGCCCAGTCACTCAGCCACGGAGAGGTGGAAAGATGGGCAGACAGGGGCATACAGTGCGGGGCGCAGCAGCCTGAGGTTGTCTGTGAGCCAGAGGTGTGTGTGTGTGTGGGGGGGAGGGGTCAGTTTCCCTTAGAAGGGGCATTGGGTGCAGCGGGCACCATGTTGATGATTATGGGCACATTCAAAGAGCCACATGTCAATCACAGCTTTGGCAAATACCCAGAGGGAGACCTGCATATTCACACAGAGCTCACAAGCTTTCATGTACATGATCTCATTGATTCTCAGAATGCCCTTGTGAGGTAATTTGAAGCAGGTACAATTATTGCTGCCTGGCAAGCAGGGAACCTGAGTCATAAGAGGGAGGAAGTGATTGGTGTCTGAGCGCAAAGGATATTATCGGCCGAACCAGGACTGGAATGTAGGTTTTCCACCCCCCTTCCTGTTTTTATTTTTATTTTTAAATACCAAACCATGAAGATGGTTTTTTTTTTTAGGGGCTCCAACTCTAAGAGGTGTGATGATTTTTTACCTCAAAAAAATGAAAGCAAGTGGTATGTACAGCACTATTTATAACAGCAAAAGACTGGGGGAAATTGGACTTTCTGCCAGGAAGGATCTGGTTAATTAGTACTGTGCCCATAGCAAGAATAGTATGCAGATTTTAAAAAGAATAAGCTTAAAGAAAAAATCCAAATAGGTAGAGGCATCAGTTCAAAGGAGGAGTGCTCTCCAAAACAGACTACTTAGTGGAAAAGCAAAACCAGTGCTCCCATATGTATTGGGATGTACAAACATGTCATATGTGTGTATGTGCCTACATAAGAGTGGTTCATGGCTGTCTGGCAGTGAGAGAGCTGAGGTGTTGGGGGTTTGGAGTGGGGGCCATTATTAACTATAGCATTTTGTACCCTTTGGGTTTTGTTTTTTTTTAATGTGCATATGTTACATTTTTAATTAGACTTTTACAAAGGCGTCTGGAAGTGAGAGCTCTGCTCAGTGTGAATGACGGACGTTTAGGATGCAGAACTTGTTCTGGTTGAGGACAGGAGGGGCATCTTGGAGCCACTGAGCCACATCCAACCTACAGATTATCTCCCCTCCCATGGCCCCCTACCAGCCTAGGGTAGTTTTTTTTCAGGGATAAAATGTCCTCTTCTCTTCCCGGCTGCTCAGGCCTCAGACTGCTGTGATTTTGGGGCACTTCAGGTCAGATGTGCTGGAACAATTAGGAGATTATAATAGGTACACTAATACTAGCTTACCTTCATTGGGCACTCACCATGTACCAGGCACCGGGAACTTTTCATAGGTTATTTTACATAATTTTTGAGGAACCCTATGAGTGACTAGTAAGTACCAGTATTATCTCTGCCATTACAGGGGTGGGGAGTGAGTCTCAGAGAGACAAAAGCACCTGGTACAGGAAGAGACTGAAGCACCCAAGTCCGCGTATTCAGTTCCTGCCTGCCTGAATACTGAGAGTGGTTTCTGTTTTGTTGGCTGAACGCTGGCTGATACAGGAGGAGGAGACTCAAGATGCTCAGAGGACTAGTTGGGGAAATCCCCCCAAGGAGGGAGGGATGAGTTGTTTGGGGACACACCTTCTTCCCCCAGCAGCTCAGGGATGTGTGTGAAGGCAAGTATGTGAATCAGTGGGGGTTAGGGAGTGGTGGGGATAGGGCAATTTGAAGTAATTACACAGTAATTCCAACTGGGAAGGTACACTCTAAAGAATGATTAACTGCTAATAAGAATTGGCTACTACTAGGTGTACCAGTTAATAATGCGGATTTTTTTTTCAATGATGGAGTTACACATATGTTGATATGTATATGCTATTTTGTTGATTGATTTTGAGAATCCCAAAGGCACAAAATCATGGGTTGACCCAGGTCAACCACCAACATGGACTGCAAGGCCAAATCGCTTCAGAAAGAAGACAATGCTCTGCATTTGGTGGCATCAGGAAGGTGTAGTACATTATGAACTTCTAAAACCAGGTGAAACCATTAATACTGATTGATACCGACAAGAAATAATCCATTTGAACCACGATTTAATTGTAGCAGGACCAGATTGGTCCAGAAGACACAGCAAAGTAAGTTTGCTTCATGATGATGCACCATCACACACTTCAAAACCAGGTAAAGACACGTTAAAAGATCTTGCCTGGGAAGTATTAACCCACCCACTGTATTCATCAGACCTTGTTCCTTCAGATTACCACTTTTCCCTATCGATGGCACACACACTTTCTGAGCAGCACTTCAAAAATCTATGGAAGAAGTGGAAAATTGGGTCTCTGAATGGTCTGCCTCAAAACAAGGAAAGTTCTATTGTGTCGGTATCCACAAATTAGCTGAAAGATGGAAAAAATGTGTAGCTAGTGATGGACATTACTTTGAATAAAGCAATTTTGATGTTTCTCTTGAAATCATCATGTTTTCTTTGATTACAAAATCCGCATTATTAACCAATAAATGTTCGATTGGCATTATAAACCGGTATCTGAATTATTAACTGGGTTAAAAATGTGGATTGAGCTTTACCGGTTAATAAAGCGGATTTTGTAATCAAAGAAAATAGAATATTTTCAAGAGAAACATCAAAAGTGCTTTCTTCAAAGTAACATCCATCACTAGCTTGCCAAAAAGTCACTGGCGAGAACCTCTGGTGGGGAACTCGAAAAGCTGCCCCTAAGGTGTGCTGCGACTCATGGGAGGTGAGTGCCACAAGGTGTGCTGGTCAGGCATTGCAATGCCATGGATGGAGTGGGAGACCGGCAGGTGGGCCAGAGCCAGAACGAGGCCCTTCCTTCTGCAGTGTCTCTCCACCGCCCTCTATTGACCAAGTTTAGCATCGCGGACTGGCAAAGAAATGTTGATAGTGTTCCACTGGAGTATCAGGAGCAGGGCAAGGAAGGGTGGGTTTGCAGCAGAGAGGCAATGCCTGGGTACCACAGTAGGTGCACGCCAGGAATTCTATTTTCTTTCACCGCACCTGCCCTGCACCTGCCCCGTTGCCCTGGGAGACTGTCCTGCTTTTTGAGAATTCATCCAAAGCAATATTTCACAAGCCCTTTCCAAGTTCATGACCCTGTGCTAGGCACCGAGGGAAAACCAAGGATCAATATATGCCGTTCTTACCTTTGTGGACCACATAGCCTACCTGGAGCAAGAAGGACTACTTTCCGATGTTCCCTGATTGCACCTCAGGTTGCCTGCCTTGCTGGCTTTTTACTGGCAGTTTCCTCAACCTACAAATACTCTCTCCTTGATCTCCACCTGAGGAACCGTCCCCCTACCCCCCCACTCCCCAGTCTTCAGGACCCATCCAGTTACCGCTCCCTGTGAAACCGAGTGCTTTGTGTCTCAGGCTGCTTGTTA